CTGGACCAGAAATTTGATTTCAGGTTCTAACTGATTACTCTCTTTTCCTTTATCTTGCACGTAAGAGCAAAGGCAAAGGAAAAGACTGGAAAAAAGCATGATATGAGATACTTTTACTCTCGACTCTGATGATATGTGATAGTTTTGTTCTTGAAGAAAAACAGTAGAATAATTTGATGCTGATGTAAAACTTCTCGATCAATAATATTTTCTTGCTGAGGAAAGTTGGGCACCTTGAGGGATTTGGTTAAAGAGGTATTCTCAAAGAGGAGGAATACTGAATATTTTGAGAAGCTTGGTTAAAGATGCATTCTCGACAAGGAAAAAGAGTTATGCATTTTTTGAGGTCTTCCTTGCCATGGCGGACGAAGGTCAACATATATAGGTAATTTCCTAATAGCAAATAATGGTGTAGTTGGGACCGTATTATCCACGCTTGTTGGCAACAGTAGTATTGTTGGAACAATAAAATTCAAGTGTTTCAACACTGTCAGAGATATTTAGACAAGTTACCCATGATATCTAGAAAGCTGAGATTGCGTTTGAGAAATGCCAATGAACTTTATTTAGAAAAATCCGGACTTTTGAAAATCGGGGAAGGGTGTCCCTTCGATTTTTTGGCAAATGACCATTGCCTCTCCTTTTATAGAGCATCAATTATACCCAAAATGCACATTTGGAAAGTTGACCGTTTGTTGAAATTGGCTCTGTTGCATTTCTAAGATTTCATTTTATTTGACTTGTTTTTAGTTGACCGTTTGTTGAAATTGGCTCTGTTGCATTTCTAAGATTTCAATTTATTTGACTTGTTTTTCTTTCATTATTTCTAAAAATGGCTTGCCCATCTGAATGTTGTTTTGATTTGAAATTTGTGGAAGATGCACATGTGCCTCATCATGACAATATCTTGTGCCTTTCATTGTTATCTTCTAATAGTTCTCTTACAGTTGCAAACTCAGTGTTAAAGAATGATATAATTGCCACAGTAATAGTTAGGAACCTTCTCACCCCCAAAGATAAAAGAATACTTCCAAAAATGTTTGATGAATTGATTGTTCAAGACTTTTCGACTTTCAGTGTTAAGTGTGCAAGCTCTATATCCAACATAGGGCCAATGTCTACTTGCTCGAACTAGCCAAGTCGAATCATTAATGGCTGAGGTGGCATGTCTTAGACAAGAGATTAGAGGACTCGAGTATGAAAGTTAAGAGTTGCACAAATTTGCGAATAATTACTCGACAAAGATGAGAACAAAGCTTCACCAGCTACAGGTATTCGAAAGTCGGATTCAAATTGACCAGTAGAGGTTCGTGGTTATATTCCAAATGAATTTAGTGCTTCTCCCTCTTGGAGTTTTGCCAAGTATTGGGACTTCACATGATCAACCTTTGTGAAGGCTCAATTTTTTCGTTGTAGTTGTAACTCATGTGTATATGTATATATAGAAAAATTCTCTCTTTTATGCATGCATGAAACTTCTAGTTTAGCTTGCTAGATATAGGAAACTGTGGAAACTTCTGATTCCATTAATATGAATCAATGACATTCCCTAATATCATATGCTTCCACATGAGTTCTCAAGCATCCCCGTAAAGTATTTCTTGCCTAAGATGTCAATAGTAACTAAATCGAGTTTTTCTAAGTTTATCATTTTCTTACTCCCAAAAAGGAAAGAAAATAAAAAGAGGTATGGGGAAACTTTCGATCATTAATTCATACCATATAAACACATGTCTACATGAAGTGTTAGAACTTCAAGTTCTTGACATTATTTATATTTTGAACTTTAGGTCTAAATATTAAACATATGTACCCAAAATTTATTCTCGATATCCACATTATCATAACCTTTATGTTCATATTTTTTTTGGAATTCATGCCCATATCTAATATGTAAATGGATTAAGAAAACTTATGGTCTTGATTTACATGAATCAAGGACCTTCTAGCCCTCCTTTATTAGTATGCGAACTACGGTGCTTATGGCCATCATTTTTGTAACATCCCACATCAACCAACAGAGAGGAGGTGATGTGCCTTATATGTACATGCCTACCTCCAGATAGCATGAGGCATTTTGGGAACTCATTGGCTTCGGATTCCATCGGAAGTCTAAAGTTAAGTGAGTTTGGGCGAGAGCAGTCTTAGGATGGGTGACCCACTGGGAAGTTCTCGTGTGAGTTCCCAGAAACAAAACCATGAGGGCATGGCCGAGGCCCAAAACGGACAATATCGTGCTACTGCGGAGCCGGTCTGGGATGTGACAATTTTAATTTAGTTGAGGAAACGATGTTCTCTCAATTGATTAAAAAACCTCAGGTTTTAATTTTGATCAAGGAACTCCGGGTCTGATCTTTTTATAAGATGAAGATCAAGGAACTTCAGGTCTAATCTTTTTACAAGATGAGAATCAAGAAACTTCAGGTCCAATCTTTTATATAATGAAACTTCAAGTTCAATATTTATATACAATGAGGATCAAGGAACTTCAAATTCTAATTTGATCAAGGAACTTCGGGTCCTGGTATATAATCTTGACAAAATGTAGTACAATAAATAAATTAAAGCAAAGGGCGGTAATTCCTGCCATTATAAATAAATTGCTTTTGAATAAGTAAAGATTGTGACAAGGTTTTAATTTAGCACCATTCACATAAAAATCACAACTTAAAGATAATAATTGTTATTATAAGAAGGGCGACAATGCTGCGCCATTACACACGCACACGTGCACACACACACACCCACATGCATATATATGGGTTATTTTGGTTCATATCCCTAGTCAACCTAATTGTTAGAATGAACCTTATTTGTTTAAATAGTTTGATCAAAGTCCTTAGTATCATTTAATGGATTTAACTCTTACATTTATGCATTTAATATCCCACAAATCAATAATAGAGTAATATTATTTTTCACATAGCTCTAGCAAAAAAATAATGTACCCACTTAATTATTAATAAATTTTAGGGAATAACTACTGATATAGTTAAATATAAAATAAATACACATAATTAGCATAGATACAGTCACAAAAAAATAAAAAAGGGCACAGATTAAACAAAAAATATGGATACATATTAAAATTCAAAATTATGGGTACAAGTTGAAACTCAAAAGAATATAGGTACAAGTAAGAAAAAAGGGTGCAAATTATAAATAGAAATATATGAAAAAAAAAAAAACTAAAAAGATATATTTAGAAATGATTAATAAGTTTTTCATTTTTAGAATTGACATATGATAACTATTAAATAACGTAGTATTCAACTAATGACATGGAGAGAAGTCAAGGAACTTCGATAAAAAAATTTTAAAAAGGTAAAGTTTCAATTAATGAGAACCTAATTTATCATATATATAGATAGGAAGGATGAGGATGATCAATCTATATCATTCATATTATAATATATACTACCCTCTTGTCACGCGTGTGACAATTGGCCTTTGTATTTTAACTTATAGTTTTCTTTTACAATTCTTTACAAAATAAATTAACAAATTCAAGTTTTTTTTTAATATTATATATTTTTAAAATAAATTAGAAGTTAAACATAAACCACCCACTAACGTGGAGTTTTGTTATTTTTTTCTCTAAAGTTTAAAAATTTGATGTTTTAAATTTTAAATTCATTAAAATTAATATTTGTTGAATTATTTTAACTCCCTTTAATTCAATTTGCCATTTTAAAATTCTTGAGGGGCAATTTATGATATTTTGAATGTTTCACCATTTTAGGGTGCTCCCTTTTATATATAGATAATGTATAGGATGAGAGATTATACCATACCAATCACATTAATAACAAAATTAAACCATAATAAGGAAAAAGTAAACGTTAACTTACTATACTCTCTTTTTTCTTTTTAACCGTGGTCATGCATCTTGGATAGTGTTAAACAATTATAGGAAGATCAAACTATTGGATCTGACTCTACTATGGAATGGATGAGAGGATAATAAACAAGTTTAATGAAGAAAGTGTTTGCATCCGAGGTCAGAAAGTTGGAGTTTAAAAGCTGCTAACATGGATGCCAGTTTTTCTATGGATTTCGGGTCTAAAATATTTCTAAGATTTGGAATGAATTCATCGTTGAATCTTTTTAGGAGTTTGATATGTCATGGAGAGAGGATAAGGAACAACTTTTATGAAGGAAATATTTTTGCTCAAGCACAAGAAGTCAGAGTTTCAAAGCTTGTAATACGATTGTTGGTTTTTTTGCGAATTTCAAGTTTGTACTTTTTCGCTTCTGCAAATAATGATATACAGTCTTACAACAAGATATATACTTGCTTTAGGAAAACTAGTCGTACAAAGGTACGAGGATAAAATAAAAGGATTTCTTATCTGTGAGATTCCAATCGACATAGGTGAGAGGTAGGTAGTACTTCACTGGATTTATAGCGTTGTGCTTTCCACTGATACGAGAGCTTCTTGTGTTGATAATGTGTTGTGAAATTGAGTATATATGTGCAGTGGATAATAAAGTAAATAAGACATAATAGTTACGAGGTTCGGTAAGTGTGCTTACATCCTCAAGGCAACAATAGTACCTTATTTCATCATCTGAAATGAGAGAAGCACAAAGATTACTCTCACTATTTTCTTTCCTCTCTCGTATATATATTTCTTCTACATCTCTCTTCTATCTTTTCTTCCTTCCGCTCATTTTCTTTCTTTCTTCCTCTTTTATTATATCTTCTCCTCTCTTACTTGGATGATTGTTTTATAGGCGAACAGCCTTTCAACTAACAAACCTACCAATACATTTTTTTGACAATGTTATAAAGGTAGGGTCAATACTTCATTGCTCACATTTACAATGGCATTCACACTATTTACAACAATTTATAATATTCATTTGACAAGCTAAAATTTCTTCAGACAAATTAAACTTGCTTGTTTTTTGACTTGGAGGAATATGTTTTTGGGGCAACTTGTTTGTTTCATGATGCAATTTAGGGCAACTTGTCCTATTTCTCACACTATTTCTACTCGAGTCAATAGAAGTAATCATCTTCAATGAGATGGCTTAATCATGACGGCCAGCTTTCGAAATTCACTCAAACAACCTTTTGAATTTACTTGCTAAGACTGCATCTTGCAAATATCCTATTCTATTTTTTGCACGGCTTGGCTTGCATTCCATGTTTCTGATCCAATTTCTTCAAATACGAAATCTGAAATCCCTAATTGACAGAAACCCCCAATTGATAGTAAACGAAACAATCAAATGGACATAAACCTAAATGTGCAGAAAAATTGAAATGTTATTTAGGCTATTGATATGAATATTATTTCCTCCGCTTCTTCCCGGTATTTTGTACATGGTGAAGAAGACGATCTAGTGGGAAGGGCACACAAATTTGGTTCGTGGAAACCGACAAAGAGTTCGGGTGATGGGTGTATGTAGAGAGTGTGAGGTGTGAGGGTTGTTAGTATGTGAGATGCATTACGATAATATTTAATTCAAAAAATAAATGGGGGGGGTTGATTAAGTATGTTGGGTGTGGTCTACACAGTATCCTAGTAAATAAAGTGTTTGGTTTCTACCTATACGTCCTCATTTTGAAGCTCTAATCTTTTAAATTATTATTATAATAATTTCAAAACTTCCCCCATCCCCTTGATAATAATAATTTAAAAAAAAAATTTCTACACACTGCTAGGAAACCTGCGTATATACTATGTTTTTATAAGTCCGTTGAAAGGTTATTCACACACTCTTTTGGTGTCTTCGAGGTTAATCCAAAAACTAATTGCGAGGTGTGAATAAAACAGTTGCATCTCTGCTATTTTTCACGTCAGTTGCAACCACATTCATATATATATATATATATATATATATAACCTTTAAGGAAAGGGATTCTCACTTTTTTTTTTATAAAAATAGGGATCAGTTGTAAGGTTCACATCACATCGAACTTTAATAATCTGAACTATTTATTTTTCAAGTTGCATCTCATAGATCATTCTTGCAAAATATTAGCCAAATCGGAAATGTTTAAAACATCTAATTGAGTTCAAAGAAATTAATGAATACTTTGTTATATAAGAAACAACGAAATTTTATTTTGACAATTAAATAGGCAAATAGTTTCGGATAGAATTAAATTTTTGCAAGGATGATCTATGAATCGAGACTTACAAAATAGACGGTTCGGATCATTGAAGTTCAATGTGGAGTGGGCCCCACACCTAATCCCCATTTTTTGAAAAAAATGGGGATCCCTTTGCATAAAGGGTCTGTATATGTGTGTGTGTGTGTAGCCCAGAGACGTTAGAGTAATTAAAAACGTCTAATCTTGCTTTAATTTATAATTAAGTCTATAAATAGGTAGATAATATATGTATAAAGATAACTATACAATACTTATGAATTGAAATACACAAAGATGAAGTAAAGGATAAGTAAAGACAGCAATAAAAAATAATAAAATAGGCATAAAGTAGGGACACAAACTCACATTAATTTATTAATCTTCAATGTTACAGGATGACACTAAAGTTGAAAAGAGAGACAACACTCAAAGAAGAACACTCAATAGTATATTTTACAATGTGAAAGTCTTAAGCACACAAACAACTAAGCTTGGAGGCTCTTTAAATAGAAAACTAAAAGCAAACTCAAAAGCCAGGTGTCGAAGAGGCAGGGGAGCATCATAAAGCAACCTACAATAATGAGCGGCATCTTCACTTTATGCATGGCACTGACTCAGCTTCACATGGGATTGTTGAAATATTCTTGGAAAACACACACCAACAAACCGCTATAGGAACCAGAGGACAATTATTCAAAAAAGGAATAATTGTGTCATCTAAATATCAGACAGGATCTTATCATTATTTTCTCTTTAATCAGAGAAAAAAATCATTTCATGCTTTATTTCTTTGGACGGATAGGAGGACATATTCCATAGCAGTTGTCCTCATTGTCATCACCATAGTCTTCGTCCATATTATGTTGAGATGACGCAGCTTCAAATTCCATCTCATCGTCATCTAGACCGTCAAGATGGGCTGGACTCGATTAACGATTTAAGTTTTTCAGTCTGTGATGAAGATGATCATTTGGGGGTTGAACGGGAAGGTTCAACTGCACTCTGCCTATCAGGCAAGATTCTTCTAGCTTTAAAAACGTCTAGCTTGAGATGATTCAAAACCATAATTGTTGATAGGATTAAAAGCACACCACAAAGCAGCACATAAATGTCCTATTGATTTTCCTTATTAACATTAAGATTTGTCAATTGTAGCATATGAAAATAAGGGTCTTTCCCGCAGAAGATTCTTTTATCCAACTACTTAAAATGTCACAAAAACTGGGTTACTGTCCCTACTGACCAGCAATCGAAAAATAATTAATAGACCAACTTATACTTATCTAAAGTCTACGAAATTTTATGTAGACACTAGACACATAGAGACACTCACATAAATTTTTGGGATTTTTGGAGCTGATTTGCTATTTAAATTAAATCGAACAAAAACAGAACAAAAATAGATTTTAAGTAGTTCACAAATTAAGAAAAACGTGTTATGTTTCATTCAAATTCCTTTTATTTCCGGATGAAGATGCTCAAGTTGGCTCAATGTTAGAACTCAACCTATTACTCTTTCTTATGTAGTATGTTAAGAGAATGGCGTTTTCAACTTAACTTAGTCCCTAGCATGCAATCTAGAACTGCGTGTTCATAGATTTAACAAGTAGAAATCATTAAGAACGAAAAGAGTTTGAGTCATCACACGGCATCGTAAGTACTAGTGTTGTCTTACTTATCCTAGAAATTGGTTCACATGTTAATCGCAATTAACAACTACTACTAGAACATATGTAGGTCCTCATTCAACAAGGGCAGGCACACACATATTCATAGCATTAGAATCCTAGATATGCTTACTAAGTATGCATCCATAGAAAAAACATAAAGAATTCATCAATGAGACAAGTAGTGAACCAATTTTCATCCATTCATAAAACGAATTCAAACGAAATGTCATAACAAACTTGCAATCATATTCGGGGCTTCAAAACAACCCCTAACTACTAAAAATTAGTTACACTTAATCCTTAAATAAAACCAAAAGAAAGACATGAGTTTGAGAAGATAAAACGGAAAGAAGAGAATGCCAAGATTTCCTCCTTCCTCTCCTTCCTTCCCCAACGTTGCTACCTTGTCTTTTTTCCTTCCTTTCCACTGCAACCTGCAGCCTTCTTTTTTTTTCTATTTTTTTTTTGCTTTTCTCTTCCACCTTTGCCACTGCAACCTGCAGTCCTTTTGTTCTTGCTTGCTGCCCCAGTTTCTTCTCCATAACTCACCCCACTAACAGCCATTTAGTGATGACAATAAGTGCGAGGAAATGGTAAAACAATTGTAACTCTTTAGGTAGCCTTTATGCCCATTAGTCCCACTTAATTTTCCATTTTCTCTTATATTTGAATAGGTGTCAGTTGGCTTGTTCTTGGTTACATCAGTTTTGGCTGCTAGATTTATTGGATTTATTGCTTTCAATGCTTTCTTGTCAATTACAAACTGCTCAGCCTCTTAGGAACCTTTTAGTGTTAAAATGGCCATAACTTTTTCTAAAAACATGATATTAACAATCCGTGAAATGATCCAGCAAATAGACATCCGTAGCTTTCCAAGCATATAAGGCTTATTCTCTAATTCATTCTAAGCTATCCGCAACTTGCTTCCAAAGTCAGCTGATTTGCACAGACAGTTTTGATGAACTTGTTACTTAAAATTCCACTTGTGCTATTTTTCTTTTCTTTGCTTGACAAATCCCACAAAACACAAAAACAAAGTAAATAGCTCAAAAATATAAGGAATTAACTAAGAAAAGACAAGTGAATTTGATGTAAAATATATATAAATATTAGCTTATCAATCGTCGTCAACAAAACCATAATCCCAAACACCATGATTGTTGTCAATAAAACCATAATCCCATTTCAGGATCCAAATGAGTTCATATATTATCCTGAACCATAGAAACATCTTCCTTTTTTCAAGATAATCAACATTTTCTTTGCTAAAATTATCTGGAAAAGAATCAACAATTATTTGGGGTAAATAATCCAAATGAGGACCCCAAACAATAAACCATGTTCTAAACCAGTCAGGAATCTCTTTTGGAGATCTCATACGAAACTGGATGAACCAAGTGTGGGAATAGCGTAGGAAGCATAAAATTACATCCCATGCTTTCTAGTAATCCTAGTAATTATACCCTCTTGGACTCATATCAAGGCTAGAGTGTAGACATAGATGATAGAGGCTATTTCGTCATTCTTCTAAAGAGATAAATTTTAGTATCGTGATTTTTGAAAATGCAATCATGTTGTTTGTTTCACTTCTATATCGGTGAACAATATCAACTAATTTGGTTTCTATTAGAAGCCTTTTGTACCAATATCTTGGCTTTAGGAAAGGACGAATATGATATCGACAGTATTTTTCACCAACTTGTCGTGGAGATAACAATAAATCGAAATCCTCCATATTCTACAGAGGAATCACCATTGTCTGTTTGAAGAGATTGTCAGCTACAACCTTCTCCTTGCCTTTGTCATAAGGGAGAGCAGATGAGATTGGATTTGGATTTTGTTAAGAGGTCAAGGGAGATCCTCTTTGGATCGAGATAGAGCCTCTTCTAGCGAGAGCTAGATTTTGCTCCTTCTTCCTTTGGTATGCCCTACAAAAGTTCAAAAGTCAAGAAATCAAGCTATGAGTTAAATTGACCCTTAATGCATTCTATATCAAAATCAAATGCTGACAATATCCCTTGCCATCTGGCAAAAATTTGGTTTGATGCTTAATTTTTAACATCTTTCCAACAATATATGTTTAGCAGCCTTACAGTCTACCCTAGTCAGGAACCGTTTATTAAGAAGGTCACTTTCAAATTTAGTAGCTACATGAACTATTGATAATAGTTCCTTCTTAACAGTTGCATAATTTTTTTGGGTTGGTTTTCAGACACCAGAAGTGAAGCAAACTAAAGACTCCTTGCAATCTTTAGTTTTTTGCTTCAAAACTCCTCCATAGCCTTCATCAGGCGTCTGTTTCTACAATTTTGAATGCTTCTGGATTTTCCAAAGCTAAACATGAGAGTTCTTTGAATTTTCTTTTCAAAAGTCAAACTGCTCGGGTTTGTTCCTTTGTCCAAGGAACATGATTCTTCTTCAACCTTTGATAAAGCAGCTTGCTGTCCTTGGCGAAGTCTTTGTAAAAGTCAGTTACATAATTTAAACTACCCAAAAATCTTTGCAGTTGTTTTTTATCCAGAATTTCATCCGAAAATTTATTAGAAAAGTCAATAGCTCGATCAATAGGCAAAATTATTCCTTTATGAATATTATGCCCTTAAAATTGAACCTTGGTTTGAAAGAGTTTCATATTTCGTGCTGAGACAACCAAACTTGCATTCTTCACCACTTTCAAGAAAATATTTAGATGCTTAAAGTGTTGTTCTAACAAATTAGAATAGACTAAAACATCATCAATATAGAGTCAGACAATAGTAAAATTAGAGTAAGGATTAAAGATGTCATTCATCATGTTTAGAAATTCAGAATGAGCATTCTTTCATCCAAATGGCATTATGTTCCATTCGTAATGTTCGAATGAGACATTGAATGTAATTTTATACCTGTCATTTTCAGCAATTTGAATTTGCCAATAGCCAGACTTCATTTCGAATTTAGAAAATATTACAACATGATTCAGCCTATCTAACAAATTTTTCTTATTTGGAATAGGGTATCTAATCCATCTAAGAGCTTTATTCAAAGGTTTGTAATTAATAACTAACATGGGTGCTCTTTGTTCAAGTTCAGTGGCATTTTCTACATAGAATGTTGAACAGCTCCAAGGAGAGTAGCTCTTTTGGATTAACTTCTTTTCAAGAAGTTCATTGATTTCTTTCTTGCAAATCTCTATCAGTCTACTATTCATCTAATTGGGTCGAGCCTTAGTGGGAATTTTCTTTTCATCAAAATCAGGCTCATATGGTAATTCGACAATATGCCTTTTACGATCCCAAAAAGCACTTGGGATTTCAACATAGACTTGTTTTTCAAATTCCCTTTGTATGGACTCAACCTTTTCTTTCACTATTTTTGTAGTGAGTTGTTCTTCAGCCCTTTTAATATGCATTTCTTCTTTTAGAGAACAAAGAAAATTTTCTTTGTTTTGAATATTCTTTTGTATGGCATTTATGTACTGCATTTGAGGTTTCCTAGAGAATGTGAACTTTACCTTTGTTCCTTCAACTTTAGTTTCAATACCTTCTTTTGAAACTTTGAATGGGTAAAGCATGTTGATAAAGTGAGTACCTAAAATCACAGTATGGCTTAGTCCTTTTACCGTAACAAAAGGGGTTTTGAAACAAAACTCATCTTGAACAACCACGACATCCAACACCTTATATTGGATTTTCATGGGTTGATCAGTTGCACTACCAGACCTTAAGACGTCTTTGAGAAGTACTTTGTGGGTACAACTCCTTTTATACAATTTAGATCCGCTCCTGAATCAATGAGTGTTTCGATAGAAAACCTGAAAGTTTTGTTAATAACAAAGGTAATTATAGAATACCAATTTTTGAGAAATTACCTTGTCGATGCTACTAACATATTTTAGGGTCGAGATACTGTTGTTTAGATCAGCAAGCTGTAATACTGG